GCACAGTACTCAAAGAAACACTGCCCAGCAAAAATCCCTCCAAGAGATGGCAACATTATATTAGTTGCTCTTTCTACAACACAGGAAAACTTGGGTTCAACAAAGAATCAGTAAGGTAGCTAAGCTCTAAGAGGGCTGAATGGAGGAGTCAGTGCAACTAAAACAGCCACACACTAATGGCTGAGAATGACTAACAAACCATGTGGCATCCCAGTAGGTGAGCTAATGTCCTCAGGAACACTCCACCAGGTAGAAAGGTGAATAACTGACATTTTAAGAAAGAAAAATATGCAGCCCATAAATACCCAAGGACTTCTTTGTTAGTTTCAGAAACGCTGTGCTGTCTTTTTCCTTTCCTTTCCTTTTTTTTTTTTTTTTGTGCTGTGCCTTCAGCTATGACATTGGCACAGGGAGAATTGTTCTTGCTCTCACAAGTTTGTGTGCTTTGTTCAAAAATGCAATCTCACTGTTTTCCAAATGCCTACTTAGGAAAGGGGGGGGGGGGTCGAAGTTGAACACCATGTAATAGGCCACTTTATCAAATATTTAACAGCGACACGATATTCAGAAATGGTCAGAGGAAGTTGAGAGGGGCAGACCAAACCTAAGCAAGGATTTGGAGTATGTTTTAGAAAGATTATTTCAAACTGGGGCTTGCGGGTCAGGTGGTCCACAGATAGCCTAAGGTGAAATTGTCTAGAGATAAAGAAACTTATAGTCCAGCCCAAGCTAAACATATTCAACTGGGAGAACTGAATTCGAATGAATCCTCTCCATTAACCTAATGCAGTCTAGCAATATTTCCTTCTCCCCACAAAAGGAACAAAACAATCTCCGGCCAAGAATTCTGACACAAAACCAGTTTTCTTTGGGGAAGCCATGTCCCTTCGGAAGGTGTAAGAAAAACTGACACAACTTAATCATGGAGTTAGACTTTGGCTTTGTTCCTGAAGCATTTTGACAGTTCTGTTAGGGCCACTGTGACAGTGGTGATACTCTACTGGTTCAACTTGGTTCTGCTGAGCCGGTAGCACCAATGAGCAGCAGAGACCGAACCAGTTGTCTCCGAGGTGCTGCTGTTTGGCCCACCTGCCTGCCGGGGCTCCCATACTAACCTTTATGTCCTGCTTTTGAAGCGCAGCTGCTTTGCGTGGCACAGTAGATTGCCACGCGGCAGCTGCTGGAGCGACATGGAGAGTGCAGGGTTGCCGGAGGTGAGTTGGAAAGCCTCTGCACCTGCTCAAAGTGCACGTTTGGCGCATGCAGGCATGCAATGTACGTGTGCACAATGCGTGCCCGCCAAGCCACGCCCACCAAACCACCGGTAAAAATTTTTGAAACGCACCACTGCACTGTGACATTATTGCTCTTTATATCTCTACAAATGGTAGCTGAGAATTTTGGGAGATGTAGTCCACAGAACTTAAAAGTTGCTGACAGGGAAAACACTGATTTAGAACAATTATTATAACAGCATTCCTCAGCTTAGCAGAGTCCATGTGAATCAGACTATAACTTGCACTACCTCCGGCCAGGAAAGCCAGCTCTGGGAAGAACTGATGATTTGTTGAGTGCTGCGATTTGTGGAGTGCTGTACGCCACTAGAAAAGTCACAGGTTGGGGAAGGCTACTGTAGCCAGAGGTTCAAACAAAAAATTTCACATAACCCAATTTTGCTCAAAAGTCATTTCATTTACTATGACCACAGAGCCCTGTGACATTTTCAAGACACATTTATTTGTCATTCTGTGTGCAAGGCCTCAGTGCAAGAATGAGAACATGTGCTTCATCCACTTACTTTAAGGACTCCTGCTTTTGTTTTGAAACTGGACAACAGGTCATGTGTGGTGGCCTATCTTTAAATAAACTAAGTTTACCTCCCAAAGATATTTAAATTACACTTCTCACTTTCCTGCTGTCACTAGAAATTGGTCTGGGGTAGTGCACCCAAGTTTGATATCTCAAGTTGCTCAGTCCTGGCTGAGATTGTTGTCTGAAGTTGACTATGACGTATTCAACAAATCAACACCAGTGAAAACCATGGTTTCTTGCATTATGTGAAACTCCTTGTTTAGTATTTATTTATGAAACTTGTAAATTGCCCATCTCATCTGAGCGACTCTGTGGGTGGTTTACAAATAAAAACCAAAGAAAGATAGCAAAAAAAAAAAATGTTAAAAACAGAATTAAAACAAGTTTAAAAAGTTAAAAATTACAAGAATTAAAGAAGGGGATGGGGAGAGCCCTCAAGTCACCAACCACGCTCAAATTTGCGTGACACTCAAGCCCCCCCCCATACCAGTTTGCAGCCAGAAGAGTAATACTGTACACAACCCTATTTATTTGATTTTTATCAGATTACAAACAACTGGAAGTAGTGAATATACATAATATTCCTTCCTCCTCCTCTTTCCCCAACAACCACCTTGTGAGGTGGGTTGGACTACAAGAGAGTGGTTGACCAAAATCACCCAGTTGGCTTTCATGCCTTAATGTGGGAGTAGAACTCCCAGTCACCTGGTGACTGAGCCAAGATTACCCAGCTGGCTTTCTTGCGTAAGGCAGGATTAAAACTCACCACAGGTCTTGGTTTCCAGGCTGGTGCCTTCACCACTACCTCAAACTGGCTTATTAACATTTCTGTCCTGCCTTTCATTCATAAACTCAAGGTGCATGGTAGATCCATTCCTTTCCCACAAAACACCCTGTGAGGTAGGTTGGACTGAGAGTAATCGGTCCAACAAATCATCCAACAAGCTTCCCTACCAAAGGAGGAGGGACTGGGAACCTGGATTCTTTCCCCCACAGCCAGTCCAGCGCCCAATATTACACATTTTGACTTTGACCCTAACGCTCCCTATCTCCCTATCATCTCCTGCCTGAATAGCATCAACTGAAAAGATTTGTCAGTATTTTAGGAGTGGCGTTTTTCCTTGCATCTACACTCCAGGAAAGTATGCTCTCTCTATATATCATTATAGTTGTGCTTTTAAATAGTTGTGCTATAATGACATGGGAAAATACCCGAACAAAGCTGAATACCATGTAAGTACCGGGAAAACTTATATATATGGTATTTAGGTTTCTTCGGGTATTTTCCCACGTCTTAATATATATGCTTTCTAAACTTTCCCTTGGCGTCACAAATAGAAAACATGCGGAAAAAGTGGGTTATAATCCTTTGGTCGGCTCCAATAAATAAATGAAAAAAAAAAAAACAGGCGAGGCACCGGCTCAAATCACCTCATCCTCTCGCCGGCTTTCAGCGCATCAAAGCCCCGTCCGAGGTTGTTCGGTCAAAGCAGGCGAAGGGCCCGCCTCCTCAAGGCTCGAGGCCCCGCCCGCCCCTTCCGTCGCCCCCCTCCGATTGGCCACGTCCGCTGCCGGGCAAATGGGGTGACCCGCGGGCTGCGCTTTTGGCGTGGAGAAGCGGAGCTGGCCGCCCTCGAGCCGGGCAGAGAGAAAGAGAGAGAGTGAGACGCTTCAGCTTGGAGGGCGATCCGGTAAGTCCGCGCTTTGGTCGCCTTCGAAAGTGCTTTGAAGGCGAGGGAGCTCGCTCGCCAACAGCATTTGTCCTAACAGCGAGGACAATTAACCAGTGGACCAGTTTGCCTTCAGGAATCGTGGGCGCTCCATCACTGGAGGCTTTTAAGAGGAAACTATATCAACCACATCTGAAATAGTATAGGGGCCCCTGCTTGAACAGCGGGCTGGTCTAGAAGACCTCCAAGGTCCCTTCCAGCTCTAGTCTTATTCTATGCGCTTGGCCTCCCGTCCTGAGGCTCTGCAAGGCTGCAAGAAACAAGGGTCGGCACGTCGGTTTGCACGCATTCGCGTCCTTGCACACGTAAATTTCTTCCAATACGGTGGCCATCCTGTCCCGGCTTCGATCCCCCCACCTTTTTTTGTTTTGTTTTTTTTAAAACTTCTGGCAGACATCTGGTGCACTCTGATCAACTTGCTTAGTTTCCCGGGCTGGGCTTTTTTTTTTTTTTTTTTTTTGCACGATGCCTCTGCCACCTCGGGCTGCATTCGCCAACGCGTCCCACCCCTTTAGTTTAGTTTACGTTATTGTCGTTGCACCTCGTACAACGAAATCGAAACACTTCATTTATTAATTTAATTATTCATTTAATCCTTTTCAAGAGGGGAGGTGTTTGCAACGGCACATCGATTCACAAGTTAGGTCAACGGGCTGGAATCCCACCAGGTGCTTACAAGAAACAATTAAAAAGCCAGGTTAGCAAGAAGTCGGCTTATAGGCACGCAGAGGAAGCGTGCCGTATCGATTCCTAAGCGACCTAGGGTTTGTCTGAACGTAGCCTACCCTCTCCCCCCCGCCCCCCATGCAAGACGTGCAATTGCTTGTTGCCGATTTCGGCGCTCCCCCACCCCAGTCCGAAAACTGAAGTTGAGGGTCAGGTGCGACGCAATCGCTTTGTTCCGTTGTGTGCGAACAGCCGACGTCCTTAAACCGCCGAAATCTTTCTAGACCGCCCTCGGCAACCGTTAATTGCTTTTACCGCAGCGCCGAACAATTACAGTCAAAACCGGACGCACGCGCACACACACACACACAAACCTACCGTCTTAAGGACGGGGAAGGGTGCAATCTTTTTTAAGGACAGTTGTGCACGCGTGGAAACAACTGTTAAACCTAAGAGGAAAAGGGCGGCTTTACTTCGGAGCAAGTGCCGAGAACTTTGTGAACTCCTCCTCCTCTCCCATCCCAGCCACCCCGCTGAAATCATTGTAGGGCACCTCTTGCAAACCGGGCATAAGCGGTGTTTCTCCCCCCACCCCTTTGATCTTTCTCCCGGGACTTTCCATTGTCTTTCAAAAAGTACCCCGGTTCTCCTCCTCGCGCCACATCGGCGTGACGTCATAACTCCCCCCCCTCCCGTCCTTTCCTAGATCCCTTCCCAGTTGCCTCCAAGCCGCCCTCGCGACGTCACCGTCAGCCCACAATTTAGCCGAGCTCTCGCGCTCCCCTCGCCTTCCCCTTCTTTCCTCCTCTCCGCGAGCGGTGCCGGAGGAACCTCGCCGCTGCTTAGACCCGCCCCTGGCCCTTCCCCGCCGGCCTCTTCCAGCGTAACTGAACCGCTGCCGCCTCTTCCTTCGCTGTTGCCCGGATTCATCGCTCGCTTCCTTCTAAGTTGCCCGCGGCGCGGCCGAGGACGCGCGAGGAAGAAGGGGAAGCGGGATCCTATCCACGAGCTTTTATCCTTCGCGGAGGAGCCAGGCCAGGTGGGCCTCCAGGGAAGGGAGAACCGGGTTGGGGAGGATGGGCGTGCGAGCTGTTGATCCGCCAGGGCGGACGCTCCGGGTTTCGGATCTTCCTTGCGGGGAAGAGCGGGATGGTGGTGGTGGTGGTGGTGGAAAGCCGGGTCGGAGCAGCGCATCTCCGTCTCGGCCGCCGCGCCGGCTACTTCGGAGGCTGGAGCCCTTCCTCTGGGGCGAGCAGAGTATCATCCCGAGGTAGGAAACCTCGAGAGCCGGCCGGCTTGCACTAATCCCGGCGTGTGTGTGTGTGTGTGTGTGTGTGTGTGTGTGTGAGCGTGCGCGCGGAGCTGAATCCCCGCCCGACAGTCATACAGGGGCTCACACGAGAAGCGCCGGCCCGGGGTGGGGATGGAAGAAGCGGGGAAGGTTCGGGCGGGGTTTGTGCAACAGGGAAGGAGCTCCAGTGCTGTGTGCTTCTTTTTCTCCCATCCCGAAGGCCCTCCGGGACGGGCTCCACGTGCATCCGCCCTGCTTTCGCTGTACCGTTATTGCTGCTGCCTTGTGTGCGGCGGCAAAAGGCGGCCTAGGGCGAGTTGCGGAAGGGAAGCCTGCGAACCAGTTGCTCCTGGGTTTTCTCTCCTCGGCCGAAGCGGTCGGGGTTGCAACGAGGGCTGCAGGCGGCGGCGCTCCGCGAATCTCTGCCGCGGCTGGAGGTTGAGCTGGCTTGGCCGGCTGGCACTTTTGCACGCAGGGCTGGGTTGCCCTCTTAAAGCAAGGGGGAGAAAGCGAGCTCCGAGGTTTTTGGAACCACAATTCCCAGAAGCCTTTGTCGCTCGTCGGGCTGATGGGAAGCCAAACCCAAAACATCTGGAAGGGCACCTGGGATGCTGCTGCGTTTAGAGGAGGAAAAGTGCGGTGCCGGTGGATGTAGTTCGGTCTTCGGAGGCTTGTTCCTTTGAACCAGATATAAATTCATCCCTGGTTGAAACTCTCGTTGTGTGATGAATGTGCGCTTTAAGGGTGGGTTGCATGCAGTAGGTAGTCTTGGATTGGCACTGGCTCCAGGGATTGTGGTTTTTCTAGAATAAAGTCTTTCGAGCTGAACTGAGTTTTGCAATTAAATGATTGCAGGTTTTCTGTTCTAGATCCCAGTCCAAATCTATTGATGAGAACCTATAAGCAGTGTTTTTCAACTGTGTGGACTTAACTCTCAGATTTTCTCAGCCATCATGCAGGCTGGGGAACTCTGGAGTTGTAGTCCATGCAGCTTAAAGTTGCAGAAATTAAGAAACACTGGTCTATATAGTATTCAGTCTAAAAAGAATATATTCATGTATGAATATATATTGCCTGCAAGCATTCAGTCACTCTGCAAACCCTTCCAGGATTTATATACATGTAGTCCTTGACTTACCACCATTCATTTAGTGACTATTCAAACTTTAATTTTCATGGTGGGCGTCCGTTCGCTTCATGTATGGGTTGGAGGGGTTTGAAGCGGGTAGTGATGCAGCTGCAGTATGGCTTTGGTCAGTGGTCATGTCTCATTATCTGTGTGGGTGTGAGTCTGCTTTCTACGTGGAAGTGTGGTGGTAGCATCTTGTGTGGCCTTCATGGGTGTGGGTCTGGTGTCATTCTTCATGTTAGGTACTCGTTTGTTAATGAGGGCGGGTTTCCAAATGGCTGGTAGGCGGGAGGTATCTCGTTAATTCATGCTGTGTGGGCGTTTTTCTATCTCTATGGCTTCTCTGATTATTCTGTTGTTGAAGTTTGAATGGTCACTAAAATTACTGAAAACTAAAAGTACTGAAAATTACTTACGACCAGTTTTCATACTTATGACCATTGCAGCATCCTCATAGTCATGTGGTCAAAATTCAAATGCTTGGCAATTGACGTGTGTTTATGACAGTTGCATTGTCCTGGGTCATGTGATCACCATTTGTAGTAACCTTTGCAGCTGGCTTCCAACAAGCAAAGCCAGATTTGCTTAATGACTGCATGGTTCACTTAACTGTGGCAGAAAGGTTGTAAAATGGGGCAAAATGACTGAACGGCTGCCTGGAAATGTTGCCCTTAATTGTGATTGTAAGTCAAGGACTACTCATATATGAATAATTTTCCTTGACTCTGGCAAGTATCCCTAGTCAACCAACGCATTTATATTGCAATAGTATCCACATTTTTGGGGGTTGTGCCTTGACAAGGAATTGCATTTAAATGCATTTAAACATGCTTATGATTGCTTTTTGAAACTAAAAAGTATCTTCTATCTAATTTGCTCTATGGTCACAGCTTGGGTAACGCTCATGTTAAGTTTTGTTGAAACGGCAAACTTTGTTCTATGAACAACAATACACTTATAAAACTTGTTAAACATTTGTCGCTCAGATTTCATTCTCCCATCAGTCAGAAAATGCAAAAAGGTACTCCTTAAGATGTACCTATGGAAATACAGACTTAAGTTAGTCAGTGCTGTGTGGTTTAGATGAAGGCAGGTATCACCCCTGCTTTCCAGCAAAGAAGAATTCTTGATTGCATCAAGGGATAGCTCATTAGACCACATTGACCACAATGTGGTCTTGCTCAGGGGTCGCCAACCTTTTGGACCTCAGGGATCATCATACTCATAATTTTAAATCCTGCGGACCAGAGACCCTGGGAAAAACCCCCCAAAAGTCTGCAGGAAAATTCCCCACCCCGTTTTCCTACTGATTGATCATTCTTTATTTGGGATCGCAGGATATCATCTCCAGATTTATTGGGGGGGGGGGAGAGAGACTTTTGACTTCATGCAAGGAAAGCAGCAGAAGTCTTTCTTTCTCTCCCCCAAACTCCTCCAGAAATGAGTCTTTGTGAGACTTGTCACACCAACGCAGCCTCTTGGAGCAGGATGACTTGCAGTGTACCAAAGACTCATTACTGGTGGTGTTTGGGGGAGAGAAAGAAAGACTTTTTGCTGCTTTCCTTGCGTGCAGCCAAAAGCAGAAGAAGAAAGAAGTGGAAAGAAGCAGCCCGGTGGCCAGGCAAGTTTCCCCCTCCGCCCTTTCTCCCCTCCCCTCACTACCTTGTGTTGTTCGCAATGCAAGCGATGCAAGCCTTATGTTCCCGTGCAGCCTGGATTAATTGCTTTGGGGGTGACATTTCTCTGCGGACCACCAAAATTTTCTCATGGACTGCCAGTGGTCCCTGGCCCACTAGTTGGCGACCACTGGTCTAGCTCTTCTCTAAAGGTGAATTTTTGCATTTTGTTGGTCTACTAGTTAGTTCTACTTAATTGGGGCATTATATTGATTGTGTGTTAGGGGAAGCAGGTTAATTTTTGAAGCAACAACATCAATTATTTTGGGATTGGCAGAATTGTATAAATACCTTGGAACAGGTATGTTGATACAAGTATATCAACAAATTGGTAATTTGTCTTAAGATTTTATGTTTAATTGAGATATTGTGATTACTGTTATGATGTTGGTCTGTAAAGTGCCAGAGTTACTTTTCTTCGAGATATACAGAATAGTCTGCCCAAAAGGGTGGTACCACTTATTAAATATTAAGTTGCTCTTGTTGGATGGAAATATAGAATTCTCTCTCCTCGGAGTTTAATTGCACCTGGACTCTTGCAATGGAAAAAAATTGGAACTGCATGAATCACAGTTTTGTAGTTTTGAAAGGTAACACCATTGCTTAGTCAGCAAGAAAGCAAGACTTCTTTAAGAGAAATCTGCTGATTGTGGAAAGTTTATTTTAATTAAAGAAGAGACCAGTAAGATAACATATTATAGACCTGAGGGCTGATCTTAGGGTCCTGTAACACCATAAACACTAGAACAACAGTATTGCTCGTGGTTGCTATTGTACTTAGGTTAAGAAAAAGCACAAGAATTGTTATAATGATGAGATAAACTTGTGATAACAGTAGACACTATATAGTCTTATTCCCAAAAGTTCTAAAGATAACCCCACAAGTCATGATGTTATGCAAGGATGACTTCCATATTACTTGTGGCTAGAAAATGATACTTAGATATTGTGATGGCACAAGAGCTCTGGCTGTCACCTTATCTCAAAAGCGTGCAACCTGTAATAAGAGGACTATGGGCACTACTAGAGATTCAGTTGTAGAACCTATCTGTCCAGATATTGGTAACCACCAGTAACAAACCAACATCCTCTGCCTCATTCTATCACTTTGATATGTGTGTTCACTTATTTTGCTCACATTTATTTATTGCTAACTAGTAATTCATGTATAAATAAATGTCAACTATTAAAGGTTGTCTGGATCTAGAAACAGACTCCACAAGACGACTAGTACAAAGATAGGTTCTTTTTTGAGATAGGCACTTACAACAGAATCATGCAAATCTGAGTGTGACTTCCTTCTTCTCATACCTCAGTTAAGTCAGGGAAAAGCCAGTCTAAAGGGGAGTAAGCGACTATTGTAGGAGTCTCTTCCTAATTCTGTCTCTTTTTCTGGGGTTCAAAGGAATGCTTTTTGTTTATGTAATGTCTTGTGAATATTTCCTCAAGGTCATGTCCAAGGTTTCTATCTCAAAGGGAGAAAGTTGCTCTTGAGTTTAAAGAGGTGAAAAATAGTAGTTCAACAGTTAATTACAAAAAACATTAACAATCAGTTACGCCTTTGTTTCTGTCACCTTTAAAGCATTTTGTGTGGCTACACCCTCTTTTCTAGTGCAGCTTCCAGCATGATGCAGCCCTTAGCTCAAGAACATTTGCATACTTCTGACCTACTTAGGGATTTCTTTCAGGATGCAGATGATAACAGGCAGCTTAAAAAACTCCATGGTTGGTTTCTTTATCAAAGGTATTTATTGGATTGCTGTCTTTCATTCTCAGAAAGGAAGATACAGGGTTTCCTTGGATCTATTTATGCGTTTCTGTTTCCTATCTCAGTGCACTTGCTGGTTGGTAGCAACTTCCAGATGCGTACTTGGAGTAGTTTAGCTACTGAGGAGAAATTGCATAATCTCAAGGTGATTATTATTTGCATAATACTTTCACAG